TTACTTACTATATATATATATATATATATATATAGGTAAAGCTGCCTGAAGTTCTGAATCTTCTTTGTAATTTTTGTCTTTTGATCGGCTTTCTTCTGCATTCGATAATAACATCGAATCATAATTGATTGCACAAAGTCTTGCAATTCTTTGATTATTTTTGTTGTATTTGAATCCATTTTGGTAATTGTTTTATTCCCACTTTTTCCATTTCTCTTCAAATATTCCTCAACAGCATCTTCGCCATCTTTCATTGTTAATTCGGTCGTTTCTGTCATCCTCACTTGTTTCTTTTTTCTTGCTCTACATTCCAAATAATCCTCGAAAAATTGTACAACCTTAAAATGACCTCAGAACATATGGTCAAATGCAAGTTTTTCAAAAAAAAATCCTCACATTTGTTAGCTTACTTTGATAAAGGTCTGTTTTTTAATTGTACTTCAAATTTCAAGATTTTTAATCTGATGTAAACATACTTGTTTCATGTCATATCGGTCATCCGGATTTTGCTCCCAACATTTCTGCATAAGAAAAAACATATTTTTTGGACAACGTAGAGGTCGATCTAATCGGGCACCACAACCCACCTATAATTTATTGGTGACTAATTTGACTATATGTACAGCTCTTTCGAATTATTATCATACGTTTTCATTGCATCGATAAAGATATCAGTAAAACTGAAATATTTCAATATAAAAATAATGTCGACATTAACATATGTAGATTATTATCTGTCATTTTGTTATTCTATTTTTAACTATAATGTCTGGACTGTAAACACAAAGTTCCATGTGGTACTGACAGCGTTCTTTGTTTCAAGATGTTCCAATGTATTGGCCAAGCTTATATTTCCATGCCGATTATTATAATCAACAAAACTCCTCTACAGTAACCTTCTTCCAGTCTATTAAAGGGTGTGCTTTAAGGGAATATTGTAAACCACTTTCACTATATAAACAGGAGAGTCTGTCATTTGGGTTCAGTTCCATGACTACTACCCAAGAAAAACAACACACTTTCCAATCCCCCAAATATATTTGCAAGGACTTCTAAACCAATCTAATCATTGACCCTACCTATATTACTCGCTGATATTTGTTCATTACCTGTATTACTTCCTGATATCTGTTCATTATACCATATTCTACAAACCTTTCGTACAACCATCCGTAGTTGCCAACTGACAAAACTCGATACAACGCAACTTTCACAACAAAAGAGAGATGATGTAATAATTAATACAAAATTTGCTCTTTACATGGAATGATACAATACAGCGAACTTCAATTGAATGATATTAATTTATACGGTATATTTTATCGTATCACAACGCTATACAGAAAGATTTCAGAAAGACGCATACATTTTACAGTGTATATATCACTTTTAAACTGATCTAATAACACTTTTCATTAGTTAACTTACTCATTATCATACTTCCATATGTGTAAGGTCTTAATAGGGTTCCTCACCCTCAGTGAATACTTCTCATATGAAGATGCTGTATGAGAAGACATCACTTTTCTACGTTAACAGTTTCCGGGGCTGTCCATTTGGTCGGAATTTTTTCACCCTTTTTCATTTTGTACTTACTATCAATGCGTGACAAACCGAAATCAGAAATTTTTGCCTGAAAAAGAGGAAAATTGAATATTTTCCTAATCATTTTCAAGTAATTTACCTGTTCTTTCCCAACTAATTGTCAATAATACAAGAAATGGCATGCAAATGTCAAAGTAAGATAATTCTGAATCCTACGAATGTCAATAGAAACGATTCTGTTCCATATTAACTTCACATGATTAAAGGACCAGTTTAACGAAATGCTTGAAGAACGATATTTGCGAAGTTTTCTGGAAGAAATTTCTAGAGATAACATTCGAGAAATTAAATGTCAATCACAATTTGATCATTTGTATAAATTATATTTCTGGATGCGATATCATGATGGATACAATTATTTTCATGCAAGTATTCCAATCATTTTGCCCTTCCATAACACATGTTTACAATTTTCTCTTTACATAAAATTTTATTTCAATTTTGTTGCAAATAACCATAAAGTGAGCCGCCGTCAACCTGAAATTTACATAAACCTTAATAATGATAATTTCTCAAATCATTCAGAAATTAACCATTTCACTAGATGGATACGTCAGTAAAAAGGTAAAACAAAACGAATCAATTCAAGGATTATCAACAGTGGACGTTTGATCACAACAATACCATAACATTTAATCATGTTAAGGTGGTCAAAAAGACGCATTAAGCGTGCTTCATACATTAATTCTTGATAAACTTTTGTTTCAGTACTTTTCGATTCTTGTTTTGATGTAAGTCTGACCTATCAACAAGTTCAAAAGTTTTTTATGGCACAATAAACCGTTAAACATGTTGCTTGTGCTTTGTTAATCATTAAGATGCTTTACGATAGTAATATGATAGTAGCATATGTTGCGATATATATATCTTTTCGATGAAGAAAATTTTGTTAATTTAATCTGTCTCTATCTAGTGTTATATTTCAAAAAAAAGAAAAAACCTTTTTGACGGCAATTTTTTGTTTCATCTGTCCAGCAATAATTTCCCAAACAAACACTGAAACAAACTCTCCTTTGCCCAATAATTTTTCCATTTTAACATCTTTGTGATGGAATTCCCAAGACATCAAGTGAATTCCATGGATAAGTACGCTTTACAGTATCTGAATAATACCGTTTTCTTGTGTCACTTAATTAATTAAACGCTTATCTCAGCATACAATAAAAGAGCTGTTCTGTAGGATTTGGCATTCCACCGTCAACAAACACTACGCATCCTCAAATATACTTACATCAGGATGTATTGGTCTTTTCTCTTTGATGTAATCATTGATGAGTTGCTTAACAGATCCATACTTACTCACGATGAATTCGTATATGTTTGATCTGAAATAAGTTTTAGCAGTTTAAATTGAATTATATTTGGATTAAACATACTTTAAAATCGAAAATATGCTCGAGCAATTCTAAAAAACCATGAAGAGAATCAAAATCATTGAAATCCCAAATGATCAACTTACTGTGGTTTTTTGGTTGTTTCTACAAATATAACCACTTGTGATAATTGTGTACAATCTCCAACCTGAATAATATTAACTCATGAAAGGGATACCGAGAAGATGATTTGTAAATACTTGAAATGCTGAATTTCGGGTTTTTATTATTTCCAGATAATGAATTAACGGATAAGCGTCTTGCGCGATAAATTTAACCTCGGAAAGGATGAAACATAAATCATCCGATGATACTAAACCGTGATAGAACGGATTACTGTCAAGCTCATCCGATATTTTCGTCATCTTCTGTATCCTTATCCTTCAATTCATTCCCGTTTTTCGAACTTTCTTTCCCAGTGTTTTCCACATCGGTCTCTTTCTTCATACCTTTTCCTCATCCTCCTCACCTTTTAATTTTTCTTCTGCTTTACCTTTAACTTCTCCCTTTTCTGCTTCTCCCTCATCTTCTTCTCTATCAGCTTCTACTTTATCTTTCCCAATACTCATTTTACTTTCTTCCATCTTTCTGTTATCTTCTTCTGGCATGCTGTAAGGAATAGTGATACCTCAGGTAAATTACGACAATAATACAGTAGCCCTTCAAATCAATTTTTCACTTCCGACAACCTCTGAAGCATATATTGTCAACTGATAGCTGACAAACACCAACTTCTTTCGCATCTGTAGTGCCTTTATTCCACCTAGCAAAAAACTGATTTTTGTAGTTATTCACGTCATTCATATATCATTTATTTTAAACAAATCTAAGAAACATACAAAATAAAAATGATAGTAATTTAAATTACAAATTCGTTGTGATATATTTTCTAATCGACACAGTGATCTTCAGAGATTTCTTTGTCATTAAAAAGGCTTTTCTTTCAGGAATAAGTAAGGATATCATCTAATCAACCGTCCAATATAATGTATGACATTTAACACTGAAACAAGTTCCGTGCATTATCAAAATTTTTGAATTTATCACAAGTTTCATTATACTTACAAAACTTCTATTATTATATTATGAAATTCATATTCAAGTAAATACACATAGAAATAGAAACAGCAAATGTCATTCCATGTTATGAACAACGAGGATTTAAATCATCTCAAAAGATGAAATCGATGAATGATCCACGAAGACGTTGAGCAATAACAAATATGGAGTTCCTAAAGGAAAACAGGACAAGGTTATAGAAAGACAGGACATAGATATAGAATTAGAGTTAATTAATTAACGGATTTCAGATTATGTGCGCTAACAAAAGGCATAAAACGACACTGAAAAGCCGCAACTGTACAATAGAAGCAATGGAATGATAAGAATATTTCATTTTGTTCAACTATTTTGTATATTATAGAAATTCGGATATTAAATCAAAAATATATTTTTTTGTAAAAAACATTGACGGCTTTACCAAAGGGATTCTATGTATGGAAATATATATCTCTGTTAAAGTAATACACAGCACAAATTGCAATACAATTTTCAATTATTTTGTTAAAAGGACTTTTTAATTAATTACTGAAAATCATTTATGGTTCACGTATATTACATATAGTATCCATAAAAGGGTCAAAATAACTATTTAATTATCCAATTTTCACTTCATTTCAATTTAATATTTGATTGGAATAAAACGATTAATTCAATGAAAATGTCAGTAAAATAGGGTGATTTTATTGTAATTAATAGATAAAATGTTGTAGTATAGAGAAAAATAATATAAGATGAGAGTAAATATTTTCGAACTTTTATAAATTAAATACTAAAAAGGAAAACAAAAAATTATTTTTAATTTGGTAATGTTAAGTTACATTAGCATAATCGAAATGGAAATAATGAAATTTGAGCGTGAATGTTAACATTTTATGAATTGTGACACATTTCATGGATTATAACGTCAGAAACTTTTAGTGTGATTTCATTTTTACTTCAGTCTCTGATCGTCCGGCATTATACTTGGACAATTTTCATACTTTTTCATTCTCAGTTATCCCTCTATCCCTAGATTGTCAATATATATTCACGCATGAACTCATCCATTTACAATTTAAAATTCAAAAAATTATAATTTTGATAAAGATTAACAGTTCGTTTTGCTAAATTGTATTTAAAGATAATCAGAAAAAGAATAAAAAAGACAAAAAGGATGAAAGAATCTGAAAAATATTTATCATTCATAGGTTGCAATGATCTGAAACTGAATTCAAATCATCGCTGTTATAATTTGATAATTTGTTAGAAATTTCGAAATCGATAAAAAATCGACCAAAAACAATGAATTATTAATTTCAACATATGATTTATTTCACTTTCGTATTTTTCCTTAAATTTAAATTCAATTTTCTTTGCTTAGAACAGCGTTTATTTTTTTTATTAATCAGATTTCTTTAGTGATTTCGAAAAATCTGATGACAGTCACAAAGTCCAATATAGAGGGAAATAAGTTGGCACAGCTTTATATTGCTGTAGTAATTTCGATTTTTATCTCATTTATGTTTTTTTTTTTTATTTAAATACCTAAAAGAGCATTGGACTTTTTTGTCATTCTTATGAATAGATTGTTCATAAATGAATCCGTAAGTTATATTTAAAACCAAAGTTGAACGGCAAATTCGTAAAGAAACGATTTTCATATTCAGAAACAAAAATTATCAGAAGGATCATTATTTGGCCAACATATTATCCTACTATTGGAAATCTTACAGATTTTAGAGATTATATTCCGTTTGTCGTTATCACTTCATATATCCCACGTTGACAAGATTGCATTTCATTTAATACCAACTTTGATGCATTGTTCGGTCTGTCAGCAATGGCTTATCACTTCATATCACAACCACAAATTCGCATTTTCGAAATGCCTATGGCACTTTTTGTACCGTTCTATTGATGTGTAATATATAAGCGTTATCAGTTATACTAATAGGAGAAACTGTTGTTTTGTTAACATAATACTTTTCATTACGTTTAATTTGTCGCAATTATCTGTAAAAAGTATGCAGGAATCGGAGTTTAATTAGTTGGCTGTTTTTTTTCTTTTACTAATTTAAGGAGTACTAATCCTTGCCATGTTAAATCCATTATAATTTTAGGGATTCTTGGGAACTGTTATCATCTATGTCTTCCATTTCCCTAATACCCAATTGTTTGGTAAATATGTCCTTTTATGGAACGGTATTTTGAAATTTGTTAATTGCAGTGAATAGATACTGTGCATTTTTGGCTCTTTACCATGTTTTCTGACTATTTTTGGTAAAATTTTGTTTAAGCGAAAGTAATCTATTTATAAAAAATTACATACATTATCAGTGAAGGAAAATGATTTACCGAAATTGAAGCTCAGAATTTCAAAATTGGAATTTCGACCAGCAATTACAGAATCATTCATGTATCTTCATTTTTAATACGGAATTGGATTTCCGTTGGAGACTACAACAACACAAGTTGTGGTTTCATCATTTCGATGTTCGGTGCAATGTTTGCAACTTCAACATTGATCAGCGCAGAATCAGAAATTATTGCAGACTTACAGTTATGATTATTTCATTAATTATTTGCAAAAATAGCTTCTAATTAATTAATAGTTTCTAATTAATAGTTGAAATGTGTGATTAGCTGCTTGATGACCTTTTCTTCATAAAATGTTAGACGATTTTACTCAAAAGCATTACCTTTGCACTAAAACGAAGTAACTGTTTTTTCTTGTAGTAATTACAAGAAATGCTTATTGTATAATCACAAGTTACTTATCCATTTCCAGTTCGTGTATCAATGGACTTGCAATGATTGCATCTGCTCTTGTCATTAATATACCCCTATATTTTCTCATAAATAATTGGACTTTATTTGCTGTGACTACAATTTGTTGACAAATGGGCATGTCTTAGATGGATGAAAGGTTTTTTTTGCCATTTACTAGGAATAATTTATTCCCCTTCATATCTTTTATGGCGGTGATGCGCTTCTGCATCGATTTCTCTTGCGCTGCCTGTCTTATATGAAATTATATTTAAATATCATTTCAAGTATTTAAGTATATATTTGTCCAGTAAATATATACTTAAATACTTGAAATGAGAGCTTTTAAGAGAAATAACACGAAATTTACTTACAAGTTTATTGTCTGATCTTCAAATGGCATCACATGAACAGTTTCTGAATAAATAGCAACAATTTTTTTATTGATAAAAACGTGTAATAGAAATTCGAATTAAACTTTAATGGCTCTCTTAGCATTTCCTCCGAATTAGATATTCGGAACTTCTAAGAAACAATCCCGATATAGTAGATTATGATTTATGTAATAGAGGAATGGAGACGCTAATGATGGTACAATTGCACGGAGAATATTCTAGATCTAATAGAATTTTATATTTTAAATTAAATTTTAATTTCACCCAAACAACACTTCAACAAAGAATGTCCATTTCTTTGGTTTTATGTCAATAATATGGTTGAAAAAAAACATGCGCTAGCAATATTTACACATCAAATTGCGCTATATGAAAAAAAAAAAATTGTGAGGAGATTAAACTGAAAGATTTAGAATGAATGCGAAGAAGTTCTATCTTCTTGTAATAAGTAGGATCGTGATTAAGATTAAAAATCATCCAAATATGAGTGGGACATTACCATTCCAGATAGTTGTATATGTTAGCAATGTATCCAAAGAGCCTTACACTAACGTGAGCTAACAAAGGCGCTAATCCTCGTAATTGTAAAAGCAATCCGTGAAAGATGTACATATAAACCCTGCGGATAGCAAGAGGACATTCTTCTTTTCTTTTATTTTCCAGATTGGTACTTTCAAAATTTATTTCATTGCAACGTCTTTGAAATTAGCTTTACGCATCAATTTGTTTTGTAATTTTTAATGCTTATGCGACATTCATCTGGTGGTTTAATTACCCAAGCTTTAATTATCTGAGGTGGAAATAAAGGAAATCTTCCAGCTCTATGTTACGTTACGCAAAATATTTTCAAAAATACAAAAATTTTCCACTTTAAATTTTTAATTTTATCAAATGCTTCTGTATATTTGAATTTGATTATGCATTGATGATATTGTTGTTGACAACAATAAAAGTACTGAAATTTAGGGAGGTTACACTATAGAAATTTACAGTAAACATAGTTCCAATAACATTTTAACAAAAATTACCATAATTTTTAAAATTTCCATATAATTTTTTTCATCGATTGAAATGTTTAATGTTAAAAATATTGGGCTCCAAAAATTTTATTTCGTATAAAGTAGAAACCAAAAACATTTTATTCATTTCCTTTTCGTCTTTTAACAACGTACTTCCGTTTTAATCAGAAGACAAGAGATGAGTGTTTCAGATTTCTATTTATCACAATCGATCATAATCTCTTTTACATCAATCCTGATGTCTTGTTTATCATCAATAGTCATCAGTACTTGTTTAATATCAACAATCCTGATGCAGCTCTTGTTGACACTGCTTCTCATCGATTGAAATATTCAATGTTAAAAATATATGACGTTTTCTTTTTTCTTAACAATAACCCTGATCTCTTTTACATCAATAATCCTGATGTCTTGTTTAGCATCTAATGTGTTTTATTTAGCATCGTCATGTTACTGATTAATTACATTATGTTATAATAATTACTTAAATTAATAATTAAATGTAATTGTATTGTGAAAGGAAATAAAATTAATATTAGAAATAGATGAAATGATATTCTAAAGTGATTGTTTAATACGTTTCAAATCGCTGAAATTTCGTCATAATCTCCTTTCTTTTTTCTTTCTCATTTCATCACTTTCATTTATTTTTTAAACAAAATATGTCATTTTTCATTTTGTCACATATTCATATATGATAGATAAACATTACTAACCATATATGTTCTCATAGATGAAAATGAATTGTGAGGTAAATAATTTCATTTCTATCTTTAAAAAGAAGTTATGAAAGGTTTTTTTTTCCCCATTTCCTTTTTTCTTTTTCTTTGTAAATATTCTTTTCATGTTAAAGGTTTCAGTTCTTTCTCTCTCTTTTTAAAACTTTTTCGAGCAAAACATTAGAAGGAAGCATTTAGAAGAAGGAAAAGCATAGAATAGCAAGGAGGAGATTCATTTTATCCTTTCCTTCTTTTCTCTTCTTCCTTCTCTTTTGGAATACCCCCATTATGCCTTTTTCAATTTTTCTCTTACATTCCATTTTTCATTGGATAAAACCTTTAACTGAAAAAATCTTTTCAAACCAACACTCAAGAATAGAGATGGAAGAGAGCTAAAATGCTTCTCAATATGCGCTAAAATCGATGGATGGCAATGTCAACTTCTGGCTAACTTTATATCTATTGCTTGCTGTTATATGGCATATAATATTCCCTACTAATAATCAAATGAACTGAGTAAGAGGGACAGCAAAAGAAGAATCAAAAGAAAAGGAAAAAAAAATCGAAAGGAAAAAGGGTTTAGAAAATGGCGCAAGATGGTGGTTATATTTATAGTAATCATGGTATTACTTCTACTACTAATACTAATGCCAATACTGATACGAACACTAATACTGCTACTTCACGTGTTATCCATATTTTGGGCTATGAATATCAACGTGATTTGGTTATTGCCAGGGTATTTTATATCTTTTATTTTGCCTCGTTTGGTTCATTATTCCCCTTGTTGGCTATTTATTTCAAGCAACTAGGAATGAATGCTTCACAAGCGGGTATTTTACTCGGTACACGACCATTGGTTGAATTTGCTGCACGTCCGTTTTGGAGCAGTTTTGCAAATAAATTCAGGAAGGTAAAGGATAAATTTAATATTTTAATTAACTTGATTAGTAGATAAATAAGTGAATGAACAAATAAATTGATTGATTAATTAATAACATTTTTAATCAATAAACTGATTAACTAATAACAAATAAATAAATAACAATACTAGATATAATAGAAATAATAAATAACTGTCGGTATTAATAATAATGATAATAATTTAATGATAATAATAATAATAATAATAATAATAATAATAATAA